AATGTGCGAGAAGTGGGAAGGCGAAGCTGGAGCCCGACGCCATCCGCCTGGAGCCGCTGTGCGATCAGCGCTCGAAAAGCGGGAGGCAACGCGGGACAACGAGCGACGCAGGAAGAAGGCGAAGGACGAGCCCGACGCCATCAGCTGCACTCGACGCGACGAGAGCCCGACGTGCGAAGGCTGTCGAAGGTCGAGCCCGATGCCATCAGCTGCATCCGACGAGAGTTGGAAAGCTGGAGGTGAAGATGGAGCCCAACGTCCTACTCATACGGCGAGAAGCGAGAGGCGAAGTTGGAGCCCGATGTCCTGGGCATGGCACTCGAAGGTCGAGTCCAATGCCATCAGCTAGCCGACGAGTTGTAAAATGCTGTAGACGGAGTCGGAGCCCGACTTGCTACCCCTACTCTGCGAGAAGTGCGAGAAGCGGGTGGCGAAGCTGGAGGCCGATTCTAGCCAGACGTGCCGGCCGACCCTACATACGATAGAGGAAGGCGAAGTTGGAGCCCAATGTCACTAGCTACTACGCTGGGGATCGAAGGAGCGACAATCAGGCTCGGTGGCGCCGTGGCCAAACCACATCCTCCCGCTGGACGGAGCATCAGCTACAGTGTTGGGATCAGCCCGGCGTGAGGTTCAGATGCGTGGCGCCCCCAAGACCGACTTGTGCGGGGCGGCCTCTCTTTCGTCGCCGCGGTGCGTGCCTCGCAACTGCGGTGATCAGGCCTGCCAGATCCTGCCAGATCCTCCTAGGAAGCCATGGCATCGGAGGTCTGGTTGGGGGGTGGGTTGCGGAAGAAGCTGGAGGGCAAAGGTATCTGGTGTCAAGGCTGGGCTGGCGCTCCAGCACCGCGACACGTGCGCAAAGGTCAGGGAGACCTTGCTATGTTGCCGGGCGCGTCGCATGTGATCTGCGGGTCTGCACCACCATCCATTTTTGGAGGCCTGGAAATGGGCACCAACACCAAGACAGGGGGCTGCCTCCACAAGGGGGAAACGTTCCTAAATTTCGGCGTTGGTGGTAATATTCCGGTCACCTTGAAGCCAGAATATTACCACCACCACCGAGATCGGGATCTTCTTCCCTCGGTGGAGGAACACCGCCGATATTGGTGTTGGTGTCCATCTCCGGGAAACCAGCATTTCTCATCAGCGTCGTGCGCGTATGCTCCAGATTGCAGCTCGGTCGCCTGGCCACCATGGGGAGCTTGAGCTGAGCGTGGGCCGACGTCTGGCCCCGGCTCCCGTGGAGGAGGGGCCTCCGCGCGGAGCAGCTCGGAGCAGAGATTGGTCCAACTGCTCTGCGCGCGGGCGCATCCCGCTCGGGAATTCATCAGGCTTGGCGCGGCGTAGCTTCTTTTTTTTTACCCAGCGCACGATCTTCGTTTTGTCTTGGTTTCCCTGGCGCGGCGTAGCTTCTGATCCGGGCTTGGGGTAACAGAACCAGAAGCACTGGACGGATCGGGAACTACCCCGCCGAAAATATAACGCAAGCATCATGTCATGTTAAGAAGATGAAAAAAGATAGGGAGTATTACCGCCATGGCATACTGATGAAACTGTTTTTTTGATCACGGGTGTGCACGCGGTGGCAAGAGGGGGAAACAAACAGCGAGACGGGCAGTGAACGGATGCCGGGCATGCGGGCAGATACCGCAGTCGATGGAGAGCTGGCAGCGCTCGTGCCGACGGGGCACGACGCGACAGCAGATACGACGCGATCGCGAACGTGTGCGTCAGCGCTGGAGTCGGCGAGGGGCGGTGAACACGACCCGAAGAAAGCAGTGCAGCCATGAGCGAAGTGCCACATGTTGTTCAGTCTGGCCCACTTCGCTGCGGGGAAGTCATGTACAGGCGAATGGCCACCGTCGGCGGACAAATGCGAAACATCGGCAACATCATCGCCAAGATCGACACTGGCGGTGCGCCATGGCCCCAAGCACAGAATCCCACCATCCCTCTGGGCGTAGGTGGTCTAAGGCATTTCCTCTTCCACCCCTCCCTCTTCCCCTTCGGGGAGGGGTTGATCACTGTTCCATATTAATAGACACCACCTCCCCCAGGCGACTGGGAGCCAACCCGAGCCAATGAGAGCCCACCCCCACCATCCACTTCCAGACCCAGGATCTGGGAAAACACCTGGCACGGCCACAGCAGCTGTGGCCACGTGTCGCCGAAGACTGGCTCTCTCCTGCGGCCCAGGGCTTCACAAGGGGTTCCTGGGGCCACCGGGAAATGAGAGATGCCTGGAAGCGGGGGGTGGGGACAGGCCAGCTTCTGAGGGCCACGCCTCGCCGATGATTGGGCCCTCTACAGTCGGGGCCTTGACCTAAGGAACGATAAACAAGGAACGAAACCCCTTTTTTATCCCAAGGAATAACGCATAAGGAACGATAAATAATAGATAACGCATAAGGAACTGTAAATAACGCATGTAAAACCTAAGGAACGACCGAGCCCCTTTTGAAAAGTAAGTGTTCCTAGTTCAAGCCGCTCACTGTACTGCGGCCCAGGGCTCCACGAGGGGTCCCTGGGGCCATCGGGGAGCGAGGGACTCCTGGAGGGGGCGGCGGGCCAGCCTCCTGCTCGATCTGGGCTCGCTGCTGCGGCCCGGTGCTCCATGGGGAGCCCCCGGGGCACACCAGGGAGCGAGAACCTCCTCCTCCTCCTCCTCCTCCTCCTCCTCCTCCTCCTCCTCCTCCTCCTCCTGTGGAACGGATGGTGGGAGCGGGCTTGCCTCGCCTTCGGTGCGCCTGCTGTGCGGGGGGGGGGGCGGCAGGCCCGGGGAGGGGCGGGTGGGCAGGGGTGGGGGGCAGGAGAAGGGGATGGAGAGCAGAGAGCAGGAGCCCAGCACAGGAATTTCCTCCTCCTCCTCCTCCTCCTCCTCCTCCTCCTCCTCCTCCTCCTACAAAAGGTCATGTGAGGAGCCAGGGCCCGAACTGGCCAGCACATGTCGGGAGGCTGCCATGCCCCTCGTGTAGCCCAGGATCTCGACCGGTCGATGCGGCTGATGGACAGGACAACCCCCCCCAGCAAAGCTGAAAACAAACATGTGTCATAGCTGGGGACTGATTCGGGGAGGGAGGAGTGCACACTGGATCGGGAGGGCATGGTCGCAGGGGAAAGAGAACATGAGCAGGAAGGCGACGACGAGCACCACACCTCCGCCGCGCGCTGGTAACAGCACACGCACACACATGCGCCACTGCCGAAGAGCAACCGCGTGGGTGCTGCACGGAATCCCTCAGCGCACATCGCCGATCACCTCCACATCTTATCAGCGCAAAGACTGCCCTGTGGCCGAGATCGGCTACGCGTAAGAGCGACCCTGCGTAAGAGTGACCTTCGGTGCGCGGCTGAACGGGGGGCGCGGGGGGGCCAGACCTGGGCGCGCAAGCCGCTGCCACCGCCCTCGCGCTCAGCCATCCGAGGGCCCTTCTGGGCCCGTAGCAAAGGTCCCTCCGGCGACTCTTGCGTGTAGCCGATGGAGGGGGAGGGGGAGGGGGAGGGGGAGAGGGGGAGGGGGAGGAGGATGCGATGCGATGCGACCACCGTTGCGGACAGCGTCCGGGCCTAGGGCAGACCAGGTGGGTTAGGCCATGGCCTCTAGAATCTGAGGTGTCTGGATTCATGCAATGCGAGACATGTAAAAAGTTAGGAGGTGAAGGGGAGGAGGAGGAAAAGAAAGTCCTTGGTGTCGGTGTCGGCGCGGTCATGCTGAGTCATTGGTCATTGGTCTGAGTCCCCGGTGCTGGTCGACGTGGGGTCGGTGAAGAAGTGCTCGAGCGCTGTCCATGCTTCGGTGTCTTGGGCTGTTTGCGTCCATGCGATGTCGTTCGGTTGTCCTTTCGGATGGGCTTGCGTGGGCGGTCGGTGGAGGTCTGGTCTGCGTTGACGTAAGTAAGTGGTGACTTCGTCGTCCCAGCGCTTGTTTTGGCCACCGTGCTGCCTTTGTCCCTGCTGGCGCGGGTTGAAGACTGGGTGCCAGCGCAGCACTCGCCATGTCCACCTCGTCCAGTCGTGGTTTGCGACTCGCGAAGCCATGCGCCAGACTTTCCGTTTGTGCAGCGTCTCCCAATTGTCGATGTGGTGGAGCTTCATGAGCTGCTCTGCGCGTCGTGTCGCTCGCTGGATGTAGTCGACCCATGGTTCCATTTCGTCTGTGGCGGTGCTGTCTTCGCCGTTTTCGCTGTGCTTGTCAGGCGTGTCAGGTGCATCACGCTGTGATGGGTTGCTGTCTGCGTCGTCCCTAGTACTGTTGGTGCGGTCTTCGTGGTCTTGTGCTTCGTTGTTCGCGCCGTCGAGATTCGGTCCCTGGCCGCTGTCGGGGCCGGCTTCTTTTGTTGTGAATCTCCGTGGCGTTCTGATAATCATGCGAAGCATGCGTCGTTGTGTGCGTCGTAGATGCTGCCGTAGAGGCTCCGTGAGGGTCCACGTCTCTGCTCCGTATAACGCTGTTGGTGCTAGTGCTGTTGAAAAGCTGGAGTCGGTGAGCCAGTGGGTAGTGTTTGTTGGTCAACTCCTGCTTGCGAGACGCGAACGATGCCCATGCAGCTCGCGTGCGGTGGTGGATTTCCGTTGCCATTGGTTCATGGAAGCTGATCAATTGGCCGAGGTATTTGATACTGCCGTCGTATGGAACGATTTCCATTTCCATGTCTTGGAAACGTGCTGTGCGTGAGCTCGCCCTTCCGGTCCTTCTCGTCTGGTTGCTTAGTATTTTGGTTTTGCTTGGGTGCAGTTCGAGCCCGTGCACCCTCGTCGCGCGCACAATGTCGTCAAGCATCGCTGTCAGGCGCGGGAGAGTTTGGCTGGTCAGGAGCACGTCGTCGGCGAAGCGTAGGTTGGTCAGCGTGGTGGTGCTCGCGAATCCCAATTCAACTCCCTTTCCTTTTTTGCTGCCATTCGGAAACCAGCGGTCCAAGGATGTCTTGTAGAAGAGCGTTGAAGAGTAGGGAGCTGAGTGGGTCTCCCTGCTTCGTGCCCCGCAGGAGGCTAAAGGGTCTGCTGCTGACGTCTGTCCTCACCGTGGCTGTCTGTCCCTCATAGAGCTGTTGTGCGACGTATCCAGGTTGGACCCCTTGTGCCTTCAGTGCGGCCCATATGCTCTTGTGCTCAACTGAATCGAAAGCTTTTTTGAAGTCAAGTGCTGCTTTTTTGAAGTCAAGTGGGAGGAGGAGGAGGAGGGGGAGAGGGAGGAGGAGAAGGAGGAGGAGGAGGAGGAGGCGGAGGAGGAGGAGGAGGAGGAGGAGGGAGGAGGGAGGAGGAGGAGCGGGAGGAAGGGGAGCGTGGCCGGCGCGCTGCCCGCGCCCCTGCCCACGGCGGCGCCGACGGCTGCCGAGCCGCCAGGGCGTCCCCGGCGCTCCGGGTCGCGCGGCGAGGCCTCCGCGCCCGCCTCCCGCCTTTTGCAGGGAGCGCACCGGCGGGGCACCCTGCAGCGGCAGCCTGCGCGTTGGAGGTCCTGCCATCTTATAGCTGCCCCGATGCGCAGCACACGCAACACGTCGCGTATCGAAACGGGAACTCAACACGTGGGCCGAGGATTTGTAGGTCCGACCCGATGCGTACGCCAGGACGTGGATCCAATACGTGGCGCCAACACGCAACGTGTTGGCACGGACGTCTTGAGCACGGGACGTGTTGCGTTTCAAAACGCGCGTATCGAGGCAACTAAGCCTGTCATCACTCCGTGCAGCCAGGAATGGCGTTGACTGGAAGCGCATAGGAGCGTCGAAGGGGGTGTCCTGCACCCAAGACGCCTCCGGATCGGTTGGCCGACGTGCCTCGTGCGCCATCGCTTGCCATGGCAACTCTGACGCAGGCGGCAAACGGCAAGTGCCTCCAGCATTGCACTGCCTATTGTGAACGTTTTCTCACTCGGCGTTTCGACATTGGGCGGAAGGGGGGGGGACGGGGGGGTCCGGTTCCGGACCCTTGCTTAGCGCGACTCTTTGCAACAGTGCGTGCCGTGGGGGAGACTCCACCTGCTTGAGAGAGACGCCAAAAACAGCCAAGATCTACTCCAGGAGGGGGGGGGGGAGGTGGGGGTGCAAGGGCCCGCGCCGATCGGCAAAACGATGAATCATAAAACGATCACCTTGTGCACTTGCAACCAGTGGCGCGGTCTGAGGCGCGCAGGACTACACAACAGCGCCCTGTACAACAGCATCGCCGTCAGCTCGGGGCCTTCTCGCGGATCGGCCTCGCCCGTTGCTCGCCTTCCGCGGCCGCTCGGGGACGCGACGCCACAATGATGCTGCGGGCAGCAAGATCCTGACATGCTCCCGCATCTATGCTGATGGCAGAAGTCCGCGGCCACCAGGGTCCCAGTCGTTGACGTCGGCCTCGGGCAGCACGACTCTATCGATGCTCTCTCTCTCTCTCTCTCTCTCTCTCTCTCTCTCTCTCTACCCAGCACAACACAATCATCATCCATTATCCTGCTCGTGCATCCTCCCTTCTGTATCCTGCCTCCGCCTCCTCCTCTCCCTCCCTCCCCCTGCTGCTTCGCACTCACCTCAGGTCTTCTGCGCTCCTCCCCTCCTCCTCCTCCTCCTCCTCCTCCTCCTCCTCCTCCTCCTCCTCCTCCTCCTCCTCCTCCTCTTTCTCCTCCTCTGGTCAGACCCCTCAAGATCCGTCCCCTCCGAGGCACCATCCTGATGGGCCGCTCGGGCCCAGGAAGAGGAGCAGGCGACGAGAAGGAGCACAAACAGTACGAAGGAGTCGGGAGGGAGGTCAGCCGCCTCGTGAGAGCGCCACCACCGCCCGTGCTGCGTGACCGCGAGGCCCGCGTCCGTCCAGGTCTGCGTGTTGGCCGGCTCCGTGGTCTGGGCTGTGCCTGGGGCCCCACACGCTGCACCTCGCTCCTGCTCCCTGGTCGCCCTCCTGCCCCCCTCCCATCCACCAGTCCAGAAGCCGCCCGTGCTCCCGATCCTCCCTGGGCTCATCCCCCTCCTTCGCCTCCTCTTCCTCTCCCTCCTCCACCTCTCTCCTCCTCCTCCTCCTTTCCTCTACCCGTCCTCCTCCTCCTCCTCCTCGTTTCGTTGTCAGGATTCGCCTCCTCTGTTTCCTCCTGTTCCTGCTCATATTCCTCTTCCTCGCCGCCTTCATCCTCGTCCTCATCATCAGCATCATCAGCATCGCCAGCATCATCATCATTATCATCATCATCAGCATCATCATCATCATCAGCAGCAGCATCATCAGCAGCATCATCATTTGCATCATCAGCATCATCGTCATCAACATCATCAGCATCAGCATCTTCATCATAATCACCATCATCAACAACTGCATCATCATCATCATCATCATCATCATCATCATCATCATCACCATCATCATCTAACATTATCTGCAGCATCATCACAATCAGCATCATCAACATCATCATCAACATCATCCCCATCAATATCGTCATCATCATTACCGTCACCATCACTATCGGCATCATCATGACCATCATCAGCATCATCATCACCAACATCGTCATCGTCATCATCAGCATCATAGTCAGCATCAGCATCATCTGCATCATCATCATCATCAGCATCATCGTCACCGTCACCATCCTGAGCATCGACACCATCGCCATCAGCATCAGCATCAGCAGCATCACCACCATCATCATAATCATCATCATAATCATCATCATAATCAGCATCAGCATTATGGTCATCATGACCATCATCGGCGTCATCATGACCATCGTCACCGTCATCGTCATCATCAGCATCAACATCAGCATCAGCATCATCAGGAGCATGATCAGCATCAGCATCATCAGCGTCATCGTCACCATCGTGAGCATCGACATCATCGCCATCAGCATCAGCATCAGCATCATCGCCATCATCATCATAATCATCATAATCATCATCAGCATCATCATCACCATCATCACTATCATCACTAGTTGGCCCCGCTTCTCCAGTGAGGAATCTGTATAATATGCTAGCCACGCTGTCTGAGATGCGGTGTGACAGTCTTGGCCATGTCGGAACATAGGAGGCGTGAAGACCGCCAAATGCCATCGCAATTTTCAGACGCTTGGTATGCCGACACTGGGGAGAGCGGTGCATTACAAGGGAACGGCGTCGGGCCGCGAAAGACTTGAAAAAAAACACCTGCGGAGCTACGTAATGGAAGCAACACGACGTGACTGGGCCCCTTCAGAGACGCGCGAACTCATGCACGTCTGGGCCCTGTTTCTCCGGGTGGTGAATCTGTCGAGTGCGATCGCGGCGTTGCCAAAAACTGCGGCGGGAGAACCTGGGCCACTCCGGAGCACAGGAGACGGGACAGCCTCCGAGGACCATGCCACAGAACCGAGCCGCTCGGTGCACCCCACATCGCGAAAAGCTCTCCCGAATTAGCTGGTTCCAGGGAGGGCCGCGCATGTGCACGCCGGTTCGGGCAGGACCCGCGCGGGCAACTCATTCGACCCAGGGGGGTCGGGCTGGGCGATGCCTCTGGCCGTCTGCCGGCCCCCCCCCCCGCCATGCCCTGAGCGCGCACTTTTTTGATTCGCGGGTCGAGAGCGAGCCTCTTCCGGTCGAAGCTAAGCGGACCGCGCACAGCTTTGATTAACAGAGGAAGGGAAAAAGAAGACAGGGCCTCACGTCAAAGCCAGGAGAGGGCAAAGCCCCGGGATCAGGCGGTGTAGAAAGCGAAGTGCATGCAAAGGACCCTGAGCGCGCACATTTACCCGACGAAACAGTGTTGGCTCTCCCACGGGCCCCCCTCATGCAGGAGTCCATGACCACTTCTCGAGTAGGAGATCGACTACAGAATGGATTTACCCCTAAATTGATTTCCCCTTGAATCTGCGAGAAGATCGCAGGATGCTCCGTAGATCGACTGAGCATTGTATATCATGTTAGTAGTTTCGATGAAGAAATCAATTTCGGGGTAAATCAGTTCTGTAGTTAGTCGATCCACTAAACTTCGCCGACGCGGGGATGCTGCATGGTGGGCTGGGCTCGGCGAGCGAGGCGCACGTGACTACGGCAGGGGAGAGCGATCCAGTGAAGACTCCCCCGCTCCCCAGGACTCCAAGCCGGCACGCGCGGAGGCGACTGCGGTCGAAGGGGAACTCCTCAGAAAGGAGGAGGGGGAGGCGTTGACCGACGAATGTGGCATGCGTGTCCGCATTTTTTTTCGAGGCCTGCAGTTAACTGGGTTCCCCCAAACTCAGGGAATGCGGACAAGATTGCGGCACCGAACTACCTGGGTGGCTGCGCGAAGGCACGCGCTGCCATCCTCGGCCTCTCGCTTTGCTCGTGAGCGGCGGGCGGACCCCGGGAGGCCCCGCACGGAGTCGGACCGCCTCGAAATCACGAGCGCGCGGCCCGTAACGCTACGCAAGCGCCCATCACCTTAGCTCCCCGAATCATGTCAGCGTTTTCGTATTCGGTGTTTCGACATTGGGCGAAGAGGGGGGGAGGGGGAAGGTCTGGCTGTGGACCTCTGCTTAGTGCGAATGCTTGCGACGGTGCGTCCTATGAGGGGGACTCCACCTGCTCGAAACAGGCGCTAGAAATAGCCAAGATCTACTCCAAGGGGGGGGGAGGGGGGGGGATGCGAGGGCCCGCGCCGATCGGCAAAACACGGAATCAAAAACGATAACCATCTGCTCGATTCGTCTGACGTGTTCGGATCTCGTTAGGTCGAAGCCTCCACCGTGCCGAAGGTCCGTCGACGCCCAGCGGCCGCGCTTCTGGATCTGCTGCGGTGCGCGAATGTTCTTAGGTCGGGCGTGCCCCCCCTACAGGCGGCTTTCGGACGAACAATAAAACATCGACAGAACATGTTCAGCACATGCTCCGAAATCGTCCGAATATCGTCCCCGTGCGATTTTTTTACCCTTCTCGAATATTCCTCCTGTGGAGGGACATGCCCGACTTAAAAGAATAGTCTCGAGCCTCTCCCAACTCGGCCCCGGGCGCCACGCGTGGCGCGGCGCCGGGCTCGCGCCCGCAACCCGGCGCGCCTGCTTCGACTCTCGGCGCGCGGCGGCCGCGAGGTCCAAACGAAACTTTCAGGCCGACATCCGCGAGAGCTGCAGGCGGGGAGCGCCCGCGCCCGCGGCAGGTCGCCATCCCGGCCCGCCAGAAGCTCGATGCCGCAGCTGCTGCGGCCCCTGTGGGCCAACCACACGTCGACGCCCCTCTTCAGCCTTCTGTGTGTTGGGTCCTCGTTTTGAATTCGCAGCGCCGCGCCCCACCTCCTCCTCCTCCTCCTCCTCCTCCTCCTCCTCCTCCTCCTCCTCCTCCTCCTCCTCCTCCTCCTCCTCCTCCTCCTCCTCCTCCTCCTCCTCCTCCTCTTCCTCCTCCGGGGCTCGGCGTTCTCGCGCCGCCTGCCGCTACTCTCCTCGACTTCGCCGTGTGGCCCACGAGCACGGGAGGCCCTCGGCCCCTGGAGCCTCCACGAAGTCGCCGAGGCCCCTTTGCGGACATTTCGCGGCGCCTGGGCATTCGCAGCAGCGGGGGCCGGGCTGTCCGTCGCTAGCCCACCGCATCAGCAACTGGTGGCTCGGACTTCAGCGCCCCCTGCGCCTCGCCAGGTGCCAACGCTCGCGGCCCCGCCGCCACCTGGCTGGGCATGCCCAAGCGGCCAGGCCCGGGCGCGCCCGGCCATCCTTGGCCCGGGCTTCGGCCAGCGTGGCGGGCGCCGCACGGCCAGGATTGGGTCGGGCGTGTTCTCCTACAGGTGGATTAGGAACGAAAAATCAAACACACCCGAGAAAATATTCAAACATTGACAAACAGATTGAAGAATATCGTCCCCGTATAAACGTTCGACTGTTGATCCAGGCGTGTACCTCGCGAAGGACGTCGCGAAAAGGTACACTACCGGCAGGCTCCCAGCGGGGATCGGTTGTACGTGCGTCGTCTCCGCCACGCTGCACATGTCCGACAACACATCCGATAGCGACCCACAGGAGGCCGAAAATGATAATATCAAACCAGTGGCCCCTTCGGTCGCGGTCGGACGTTCGTGGTTGGGGGTTGTGGTGTGTTGTAGTTAGCCTGCGTGGGGGGTGGAGGCGGCGCAATGTCGTATCGCATGTTGCCATGCAGTGCGTCTTCAAAAAAGTTGCACGTTGGAGGAGGAGGGTGGGTTTCAGGAGTGCAGTAGCGCAGGGAAGTGGGACTCATGTAAGAGGCCTCCGCGAGAACGGAGGTAGCACTGCAAGTGTCCTTGCGATTGTGCGTAGTTGTGTACACTCCTTCGAACAGACCCACCGCGCCCTGATGTTCCACCATGTCAGTAGTCCACCAGATAGTGCCGTGAATGGTGAGGAGTAACTACAGCTAGAGCTGACCACCGTAGGCCAGCTCCGCTACCAAGTTTGAAAGGGGTTGGGAGGCCCAACCAGAAGCTTCGCCTAAGGCAAAACCCATATCCAACTCTGTTGTACCGTAGTGACGATGGTCCCAGAAGTAGGAGATCGTCGCGGGAGCGACGGGCCATGTCAAGCGAAAATGTTTTCGGTCTCGATGGCAAGTAGTGTGCCTCGCGATGAGGCGCAATCATATGTTGGCGGCCGGCCGTTTGAAAGCAAACGGCCGCGGACAAACGCTCGCTATCTCTCGCCTTTGCCCCAGCCTCCTTTAGAGTCCGTCCTCCTGTGCTCCGCCACTGGTTTGTCCATTTCCTGCGGCTGCGTCTTCTCGACTCACATGGCTGGACACTTGAACCTGGTCACGCACCGCTCGGATGATCTGTTCCAGTGGCTGCGCTGAGACTCCAGTGGGAGAGGAGGGGCTCGAGGCAGGCTGCACCGAGGAGGCGCCGTTTTCGCCTCTGCAATGGCCTCATTGAGCAGCGTTCAGAGCTGCTCCACCGCCGTTTTGTATTGGCAACCCTCGTTGGCCAACTGTCTTGCTGTTCCCAATGCTGTACCGATCGGTCCCGGGCCGCCTCCGGCGAGGCGTGTAGAGGATTAGCATTACGTTCTCCCGACACCGTCACGGCCCACAGATCAGAGCCTCCTCAGAGGCTCCGCTACCACTGTTCCCCCACGCATTCTCGCGCAGGCCCGAACGGCGTCGAATCCAAGACGCGTCAGTTTGCGCGGGCTCAGACCTCCATGCACGCGACGCTACAATCCCCACGGACGGTGTCCGAAGGTAACGTAGTGTCCTCTCACTCTTTCTGCTCGCACTAGGCTCCAGTGCGATCTCCGAAAGCACACCACTCCGTCCACTCGAAGACAATGAACGTGGAAGGGTAAAGGAATGGGTGTGAGGGATCGGGATCTGGAAGGAGTGATGAATGACTCGGGATATCAGCAAATGGGTGGAGGAGGAGTTGCCCTGAGCCAAAGGTTACGGAGGGAGTCCATCGTCTCTCTATACCGTTCAAATCCAAAAGAGGAGGGCGAAAGTTCGGTCCCTCGCCAGATCGATGAGCCGTAGGCGCTGATTCCTATCATCATCATCATCATCATCATCATCATCATCATCATCATCATCATCATCAGCAGCATCATCAGCATCATCATCATCATCATCATCATCATCATCATTATCATCATCATCATCAGCATCATCATCCTCATCAGCATCATCATCATCATCATCATCATCATCATCATCATCATCATCATCTGCATCATCATCATCATCATCACAATCATTATCATCATCATCATCATCATCGTCATCAGCATCATCATCATCAGCATCGTCATCGTCATCATCATTTTCATCATCATCATCATCATCCTCATCATCGTCATCATCATCATCATCATCGTCAGCATCATCATCATCAGCATCATCAATATCATCACCATCATCATCGTCATCAGCATCATCATTACCATCGACCTCGTCAACATCACCATCGTAGTCATCATCATCGTAATCAGCATCACCAGCATCATCAGCATCATTATCAGCATCATCAGCAGCAGCATCATCGTCCCCATCATTATCATTATCACTATCATCATCATCATCATCATCAGCGTCATCGTCCTCATCATCATCAGCATCATCATTGCCACCAACAACATCATCATCATCATCAGCCTCACCACCATCACCATCATCATCAACACCATCATCGGCATCGGTATCGTCGTCATCAGCAGCATCATGATCATCGTCATCATCATCACAATTCTCATTATCATCGTGATCCTCATCATCATCAGCAGCAGCATCATTAACATCACCGGCAGCATCGTCATCGTCGTCAACCGCATCATCATGAGCATCATCATCAGCAGCATCGTCATCATCAGCAGCAGCAGCATCATCATCATCATCATCATCAACACCATCATCATCAGCATCATCATCGTCATCATCATTAGCGACTTCATAATCACCATCGAAAACAGCATCAACCTCATCGTTATTAGAAATAGTATGATCATTCGTCGTAGCACTAGTATTGTAAGTGTTTTTCGTATCAAGCCACCTCTCATCCTCCTCCTGCTCCTCCTGATCATCCTCCTCATCCTCCTCCTCGTCCCCCTCTAATCTTACATTACCGCCCGCTCCTCCTTCGGCGACGACCACGACGACCCCACCTGTCCTGAACGTGATGGCGACCGTCCGCGCCAGCGCCGACGCGGCGACGCTCCTCAGAGGGCGCACCTCGGATGGACCGCCCGCGCCAGAGCCGGATCGGCCGGCCGCACCAGCGGGACTCGGACCTCGGGGCGCATCGCCCCAGAAGCGCGACACAGTTCGATCATCCGGATGTCATCTGATGTGTAAATTATGGCGGCCTTCCCTCTGGTGTCTTGGTAATGCGGGATGACGATTAATAAAAAATGGGAAAAAAAACGATAAACAATAGTGTTTTCTGCTATTTCTGCACAATTTTCTGAGCGGAGGAGAACGAATTTCAAAAAATAGGTTTCCAGCCCGCGGCCGGTTTGTTCTAATCGTCATCCCGGGCGCCGCCGCGTGAACACGACCCCAGGTCATTTATTAATCGTCATCCTCCATTAGTCCTCCTGGCCACCCTTTGGCGCTTCTTCGGGTCCGCTTGGGGGCGGAAGAATGCCTCGTGCGGCACGTCCTTGATCTTCCCTCACTTGGGGCGCGTATACGCCGTGGCCTCCACGTATAGTTGGCGAGACCACACCAACCATCAGTAGAATGCTATGCGCTGTTCCTTGACCACGTGCCACGCAGCCTGCAGATCCCAGATCCTCGACTCCCGCTCCCTTCGTCTATGAACGTGTACCCCCTGGAGGAGGCCTTGCTTCTCTCGTGCCAGCTCCTCGGGGAGACCCGCCAGGGCAGCCCGGCCGAGTCAGACGGGCTGGACCTGAGGCGCGGATCGGGTCGGGCGAAAGGGGGGGATAGCAAAGGGGGGGGGGTGAAAATCAGCTCACGTAGCTGATTTTCCCGGCGCCTCCCGGCGCCAGAGGCGGCTATGTATCGAGGAACGGGCCCCTCGGTGGGGCCGAAACCAGCTGCATGCAGCTAATTTCGTAACCCCCCCTTTCCCAATCCCCCCCCTTCGTCCGGCCCGCGCGGACCGGGCGTGCCAGCCCTCGCAGACAGGTCGGGCGGGCGGGCCCTCACGGGCGGGCCGGGCAGGCGCGGCAGCGGGCGGGGGGTCTCCCGAGCAGGGGACTTCGGGCGGAGCCTGGCGGCCGGGACGGGGCGGGCGGGGCCTGAAAGCGGGCGGGTCGCAGCCGGGCGGACGAAGCCCGACGGGCGGGCCGGGCGGGCGGACCCAAACGGGCGGGTCGGGCGCTGGCCATCGCTCGGGCGTCCACTTCCTGTGTTTTTTTCGGTTTCGTGCGTGGGTTTTTTCGCCAAATGATCAAGGATTCTCCTCGATGGTCCTCGCCGAGAGGAACATGCACACGTCCGAGCGATGCCAAGGGCGGGCGGTCCCTGACGGGCGGGTCGGGCGAGCGGACCCTAACGGGCGGGTCGGGCGGACGGGACATGACAGCGTGATTCTTGGCAGATCGTTCCGAGGTATCGGTCGAGAGCGAGATTCCTCAGTAGTTTGTATGGCAGTCTTTGGCGAGAGTGCACTCCCGCATTGGCGAGAGCACGATTCCTGGCGATGGTGAGAGGAAGTCCCAAGCGACAGCACGACTCCAGAGCAGCCAGAGCGCTAATCCAGAACAACAAGATCTGAGAGGAAGTCCCGGGCGAGAGCACAAGGCTTCAGCAAGTTGCGAGAAGGTCCCGAGCGAGAGCGCGCCTCCTGCAACAAGTTGCGAGGAGGTCGTTGTCGGAGACACAGCTTTTTCTGTGACAGAAAAGGCCGTGCGAGACCCAAGGAGGCGGGCACTTCAATAGAAGAAGAAGAAGAAGAATAATCAACAAATAAAACAGCATAACTAAACATACACTTTTGGAACTCCGCGCGGATTTCTTGGATCTGCGCTGGACTCCCCTTCCTGGCGCGCGGAGCGCGCCAGGGGCGGCGCCAGAGGCGCCGCCGGGAGGCCCAGCGGAGCGCCGAAAGCTTATGTTCATGCTGCCTTGTCTTCTCCGAGCCACTTGAACTTAAGAGCAAGTATACAATGAAGGTCAGTTCACAAAAAGCCTTCCACAAGAAACCCAACCCTGAGACCCCAGGACGTCCATGGATTTCTTGGTGTGGGAACGTTACGCTTTCCACAGCAAAACCATCGAAACCCAAGAAACCCAGGACACCCTGGAGGCGAGCAGGATGCTTCTTGGCATGGGCCCCCACTGTAAACCAACAACGAGAACTCAACAATAGCACAGACAGCAGAACAGCAAATAGACAGCAAAAACCCTCCTCGATGCGCAGCCCACGAGCTTCGGCCCTGCTGCTCCTGCCGGGTCCCTCTGGGGAGCCGTCGGGGGCGTTTCGAAGAGGACCTCGGGGGGAACTCGGGGGGGCACCGGCCCAGCAGGCCCCGCTGACAAGGCTGGCTGTAGGTCGGGCATGTCCCCCTACAGGCGGACTGCCGAGGAGAAACGGAACAATACTCAACAAATTTCGATCAATAACCAAAAATTGTCAAAACATCGTCCCCAGACCATGCTTTGACTATGCTTGAACATTCCTCCTGTAGAGGGACATGCCCGAACCCAGGCTGGCTGGTGCGCCCAGTCGGGTCAGGGAGGGAGGGGAGGGAGAAGGCCGAGTGGCAGCCCAGACCTCCAGCGCGGTGAGAGAGAACGCGCGGCCTGCTTGCCTTCTCCAACTGCAGGGGGCCCTCGCTGGGCCCCGGGACGGCCCAGCCAACGACTCGGGATGAGCCAAACCAGGGGTGGGGTCGGGACTTCCCGGGACCCGGTGTTGCAAGAGGCAGCACGTCGGATCCATGGGAGCGGCTCAGGAGGGCGTCGAGCCGACACCCGCCGCAGGAGGAGGAGGAGGAGGAGCAGGAGGAGGAGGAGGAGGAGGAGGAGGAGGAGGAGGGGGAGGGAGGGGGGGAGGAGGAGGAGGAGGAGGAGGAGGAGGAGGAAGGAGGAGGAGGAGGAGGGAGGAGGTAGGAGGAAGAGGAGGAGGAGTAGGAGGAGGAGGAGGAGGAGGAGGAAGGATGAAGGAGAGCACATGGCGCCCCGTCGTTACCCGCGGGCCTTCGAACATCGGTCGTGTGCAGCGGTCTGGGGTGCATCTGCAGTCTTCAGCGTTCTCGGGCGGCTGTTTCTGCGCGAGGCAGCTGGATGGCTGCATGCAGCAAAGGGCCCATGGCCGAACATCCATCTCACGGGTGGACGAGGGAGGAAGAAAGGAGGGAGGCAGCAGGACGGAGAAGGGATGCGCCTCTTTATCTCTGGCACCTTTGCCCCAGCCGGCCAGAAGCAGGGTCGCAGCTACCTTGCTCGAGCGCAGGCCGAAGAGTGTATGCGACAGGGACGAGCCTCTGGCGAAGGCGGCCAAGGGGCATAACTGATAACACCGTCGTGATGCAGTGAGCGCGAACGGGTCGCCGTCCCTGTGTCAAAAATCCGCCGCATCCGACGAGGAGAAGCTGTGACGAATCGGCCACATGAAAAGGCGTTGCGCGAGGGCTGTCGGGCCTGTATCAGCCTCCGAATAGTGGGATCGATCCCCAAATCATTGCCTGCACTGCAAGGGCCCTGGTGGATATGGTACGAACTGAACTTTGTCAAAGCATCGCCGCCGATTTGGCAAACTGGGTCCTCGACTCCTGGGCTCCAGGCTCCTGGCCAGTGTGCTCCTGGTTTCAGGTCCCCGTGCTAGGTCACATCGTCACATCCCGAATCAAGGTACTGGTTTTTGAGGGCAACATCAAAATACGATGTGTCTGCGTTCCCAAGCTTCTTGCGCACGTGGTAGTACAACGGGTGGGCGCTCACGAAGACACCAGGGTGGCAATTCGGCACACCCCTCACGCACGCCGTGCATATAACCCCCACACACACACCCTCGGGCCCCCAGCTGGCACCTCAGAACGGAGCACGGACCCTCCAGTCCGGCCCCGTGGAGCCCCACAGGCCCTCAGCTGGCCCCTCGAGACGGCGCAGGGGAGCCTCGATCTGGCACACCCCCAACACACTTTTTTGATCCGCGGGTCGAGAGCGCACCTCTTCCAGTCGAAGCTAAGCGGGCCGCGCGAAGCTTGAAGTAGGCAGAGATGGGGGAGGAAAAGGGGGGGCGCAGCCTCAGGACGAGGCCGGGAGGAGGGCACACCCCCACCACACTTCGAGCCACAGGGAGCCTCCTACGAGGCCCTCCGCCCGCTCCCGAAAGGCAGCGCGAAGGAGCCCCCGTGCGGCACGCCCCTCCCGCACGTCGTGCCCCAGTGTGCCTGCAGAGGCCCTCGGCGGACAGCAGCCGGGGGGCCCTCGCAGAGAGAAGCCCAGAAGCGCCCGAGGAGGCAACAGAAGGTCACACACGTTCATGATGTTCCCACCTACTTTAGCCTGGATCCCCAGGAAGAATCTCGAGCGCCAGAAAAGTGTCCCCAAACTCAAGGGTTTTCACGTGTCGGGCCCCGGGAGACACTGTTTCGACACTCTTTCGACACTTTTCCGGGTGCTCGAAATTATTTGTAGGATGTGGTCTCTAAGTACGATGGGAGCAGCATAAACATACGTCAAGTTCATGTCGTGCCGACTTCGGCGCGGGCTTCTGACACCGCGGGGATCGTTCAACCTGGAACGATCGGCCGTTCCCGAAACGTCCACATCGCACTTCGAACGATTCTGGGTCGCCCGCGGTGTTCAAAGTTGAGCGCCGCTGGCGGGGTCGCCGCCGGTCGACACGACACGGACCTACCGTACACACAGGGGAAGCAAACATAACCCTGAAAACATAATTGCAGCGACTGGTAGCCCGCCGTAACTCCCGCTCTGTGGGTTCAGCAAATGGGTGCGGGCGTTGGAGGCGCGCTGCCTGCCTGGGAAGGAACGGGGCTCGTCGCGGAGGAGTGACTGCGGCGCAAGTGGCGTGCGTGCCGACATCCTGAGGTCGGAGCTTTAGGCATTTAGCCCAAGAGAATATGAAGCAAGAGCCGCTCCGAAGGCCGCCACAGGGAATGCTCCAGGGGGCTCTGGGGCAATAATTGGGGCAATATTGGGGCTCGTGGGCCATCTTGTGGGCTCCAGTGGCCTCGAAGTTCTTCGAGGTGTGTGTGTGGTACTGACTGAGCGCGGAGCCATGTTGAACCAAGAAAGAGCTATCAATCCGCATACCTTGAGAGCATTTGATAAGGAACCACTGGACAAGGAAGGTCTGGAAGGCGGTGGGACGACCATGGATCTCACCGCCGCCCTCATCGCATAAGGAATCATTCAGGTTCTGAAGCCTCCTGGGCACACTCCTCAACGAACGCCCCAGCGTAATCAATCCCAACAAGCAGATCAGTTTTGAAAATGTTCTCGCGGACGCTCTTGCAGCCTTACGGGCACAACTTCCCCTGAGCGGAACTATCGTGGAGCCTCTTGCGGCCTCTTGGGAGCATCTTGGGGCGGTCTCGGAGCCCTCAGGATGCCCTCTGGGCACTCAGTGCAGTTTCTGAGGCGTCTTGGAGAAGAAAAACGCCATAAACATACACTTTTGGAGCCCCGCGCGGCTTTCTTGGATCTGCGCTGGATCCCCCTCCCTGGCGCGCGGACCGCGCCAGGGGGGGCTCGGCGCGGATCCAAGAAATCCACGCGGAGCGCCAGAAAGTTTTCTGTGTATGCAGTTGTTTCCCTCTTCGAGCGTCGGGGCTCGCATGGAGGTGCTCCGCAAGGCGCCGAACGGGGTGGCGTGGGGGGGGGACCCTCCTGGAGCTGCAGCGGCGGCCCGCGGGGGCCGTTGGGTGGGCCCCAGGTGCCCGTGGGTCCTCTCCGAGACACGTGGAGGCCACCGTGGGGCTGTGCTGAACGGAAGAACCAAGACCCGTAGGTTGGGCACGTCTTCCTACGAGCGCACTTTGGAGAAAGAATCACAAGTAGTCAAATAATGTCAAAAAAACAAAAAAAACCTTGAACAATAGTCCCGGGCTATTTTTGGACTGTTTTTGAATTTTCCTCCTGTAGAGGACGCGCCCGACGTAACGCTAGGTTTTCGCTCTTTTTGGCCTCTGGGTGCCCTTACTGGACCGCGGGGGGGCCGTCAACAAAACGACTCAGGACGAAAAGCCAGTCCCTGGGAATGGGTTTCGAGACCCCTGGAGGAGACGTAATGAAAAAATCCGGACGTCGGGGTCTGGGGAATGAGGCGTGCTAGGAATACTCGAACACCTGAAACTGATTGACGATGCTTGCCCCCTGGGGCCAGTGGGGAGCGTTGGCGCCTCCATGCAGCGTCTTGGGCTTATCTTGGGCCCGTCTTGGAGGCCTCTGTGGGCCTCTTGGGCCTTCGTGGCATCCTTGAAGCCGCTGGAGCGTCAGGGACTGCCCTGCGGCGCTCTGAAGGGCCCCGCCGGGGACCGTCCTGGAAAGCACCCGGCCGAGAGCCCCATCAAGGAGCAGATGCGACGGGGGGCGGCCCCACAGCGGGCTTCCCCCTGGACGCACACGCAGGTGCACGGTCGTGTATGAGGCCTGGGCGTATCGTTTATGCACAAGCACATGCACGCATCGGCGTGAAACCAGCACATCGTATAGCGAGGTCTATAATGCCAATGTGTCGGCGGTTGTATTTACCTTGTCATGAGGGCATCGCCATGATCATCGCTAGTAACACCATGGCAACTTCGTGCACTTTGAAGCCCACTGTTGTGGTTCGCCTCCAGCAAACACTGTCTCCAGCACCTTTGCTCCAGCTGACCACGAGCACGGCTCCGTTCACCATGCGTAGGCTCAAGCTTCGGAGATTGTGCGAGAGGACGAGCCCTCGGCAAAGAAGCAAACTACCCAGACGCACAGCTGGTGACACCATCGTGAAAACGAGCGGGCCCGCGTATCTTTGTGATGTCGGGGCCATGCGTCCGAGCAGCCAACTCAGGAATGCGGGACACTGTCCTCCAGTTCAAACACGTCCCAGTGCAAACCTGCAAAACTGCCGCAGACCTTGCGAACCTGACTGAGAACATGGATCGGTTCACACACGTCAGATCACATTGACAGGCGCTCAAGGCTTGGAGGGGTGGGCACGCGTGCACTCCGAATTGCCCCACGGTACTCTACGTGGGCACACGTGCGGATGCGCACGCAATACCAGAGAAATAACTCACTGGTAGTGTATAGCAGTGCTGTCGGGACCGCGTGGCCCAATTTGCTCGATGCGGAGGGAGCTCGCGCACCCCTAAGGCACGCCGGGGCACCGCCGTCGCCGCACGTGTCTCAGGCAGCCTCAGGCACCTGTGAGAGAGGCGGGCGAAGGGAGAAGCCCATCACTTAAAATCTGTGCTTGATCGCCTAGTCTCACCGTTGGCCGTCCACAGGAGTGGACGCAAGTGCTGTGGCCGCCGGTCTTGCGCAGCCCCGTTGCTGCGCAGCTCCCCCTTCGCCATGCCGCGGTGCAGCTCGAGCTTCGCCTGGAGCGTCTCAAGGGCCAACGCGGGCTCAGTGTGGGTGGGCTGGCACCCAGCGTGGGAGCCCACTGGGCCGCCTCCGAGCTCGCCCTCGAGATCCTGCAGGACCCTTGCGCTCTGACTGTCCATGGCGCTCTCGCAGAGGGCGTCCAGCTCTGCGTCGCAGCAGTGCCCCATCTGCGCCAGGAAGGCCTCGAAGTCGATGCCCAGATCCAGGTCGGTCGGCCCTGCCTCGACGTGCCCCTGTGCGCACGAGAGTGGCCACCGCCTTACGACCAGCGCCCACCACAGCAAGACCAGGGCCCACCACGCCATGACCAGCGTGCACAGCACAGCCGACGCTGCCGTCACAGCGGTGCAGCCAAGGAATGCCGATGTGGCATGCAGAGCCATCTTTGCGTCAATAAAGTACGGTCTGTGATGGAGAGAGAAAGAGAGAGACAAGATGTGTGTCAAGTGTGCTGGTGGCGAACCGTCAGCAAATCACGCTTGGGAGCAAAAACGCCTGAGCCCGACTGGCTCTGGACGGATGAATGAAATAGAAGAAGACGAGGAGCACGCACCCCTCACCAGCTCCACTCATTGTTCTCCGCCTCACTTGTGGCGTCGAGAACCCGGATAGCAACGCAGTTCTCAAAGCGCGTGAAATGCCTGTGGGAGACGCTTGCAAGGACGCTGGGAATCATGCTTGGAGAGCTTGCAAAGTTGAACACAATCTCTGGGAAGCACTTGCCAGGACGCTGGAAAGCAGACCTGGGGAGCCTGCAGGCTTCGAGAAGCAAGCTCCGAAGGAGCTTCGAGGGAGCTTCGAAGGACCTGCGGAAAGGCTTCGGGCACGCGCATTGGGAACGAATAGGAACACGCTCTCGGGACTCGCTGCAATCTCACGCAGGGCGCTGCGGAGACCCCTGCCCGGGAGCCTCGGACGAGGGGCCGGCCTACCCTGCGCTGCCGGCTTCTGGTCTGAAACCCTCCTGGCTCTCCAAGGAGCTGTCCGGGAAACCCCGCCTTCGCCTCCTCCACCTCCTCCTCTCGCCTCCCCTCCCCCTCCTCCTCCGACATGTTCTCAACCCCATTGATCCCGCCTCCTCTATCATCTCTCACCGCCTCCCCCTCTTACTCCTCCTCCTCCTCCTCCTCCTCCTCCTCCTCCTCCTCCTCCTCCTCCTCCTCCTCCTCCTCCTCGTCCTGTTCCTCCTCCTCCTCCTCCTCCTCCTCCTCCTCCTCCTCCTCCTCCTCCTCCTCTTCCTCTCTGTATCTGACTCTTTCTCTCCCTCCCTCTCTCTCTCTCGTTCTCTCTCTCTCTCTCTCTCTCTCATTTTCCCTCTCTTCGAGTAGGAGATCGACTGCATCATTGATTCACCCTAGAATTGAAGTTCCCCTCGGATCTGCAAATATATACGTAGAATGCAGTCGGTCTACAACCATTATACGCATGTGTTGTAGATTCGGCGGAAGACAATAGGGGGCAACTAAAAAATATAGTCGAAATCCTACTCGATGTCTCTGCCTCTCTCTCTCTCTCTCTTTCTTTCTCTCTCTGGCCACGACACAATCGGCGACGACGACGACGACGCACCTGGCTGCCTGCATCGGCCGGTCCCGCTGGTCGGGCCAAGGCCCCTCGCCATATCCGGGACCGATCCATGCCAGGAAGAGGCGAAGAACGCGGAGGCGGCGGAGGAAGGCCGGGGATCTACTGACCCGGGTCAATCCAGACCCGGGTGAGTCAGGCCTTGCAGGCTCCTGCAGGATCCTGCAGGATTCTGCGCCCGAGCTCGCGCCAGTGCGCCCGTGGCCCTGCAGAAACCTACAACAGCCGGCGCTCTGGCGGACCCCTGCCTACATGGACCCCTGGCTCCTGAGCCCCGGGAGAGGGGAGCAGGCTTAGGTCGGGCGTGCTCCCCGACAGGCGGATCGTGGCCGAACAAACATACCCGAATAGCATTCGAAATTGCAAGCAAAATATAGCCAAAACATCGTCCATATACTATTTTCGACCATTTTTGAATCTTCCCCTCGGAGGGCGACTATTTTTCAACTATTGTTCTACTCTTTTCGGCAATTTTCGATTATTTTTTCTACTGTTTTCGACTATGTGCACAGGGACGCAGGCGGAGGAGAGGCCGGGGAGACCTCGCGCCGCCTCGCGCGAGACAACGGTCGCACCACGCGCCCACGCGGCGAGCCAGCATGTGAACTCTGCCCCTTGTGCGCTTGGGCCTCGGCCAGCGGTGCCCAAACGAAACCCAGCCCCGCTCGAAGCATGAAGAAATCACGACTGGAGGTCTTCCCTGCTCCTCCTCCTCCTCCTCCTCCTCTTCTTCTTCTTCTTCTTCTTATTATTATTTCTCCTCCTCCTCCTCCTCATCCTCCTCCTCCTCCTCCACCTCCATCTCATCCTCCTCCTCCTCCTCCTCTTCTTCTTCTATTTCTTCTTATTATTCCTCCTCCTCCTCCTCTTCCTCCTCCTCCACCAACCATCCATCTCCTCCTCCTCCTCCTCCACCTCCTCTTCACTTCTTCTTATTCATACCTCCTCCTCCTCCTCCTCCTCCTCCTCCTCCTCCTCTTCCTCCTCCCCCCCATCTCCTCCTCCCCTCCTCCTCCACCACCTTCCCCTCCCCCTCCCCCGCCTCCTCCTCCTCATCCTCCTCTCCTCCGCCTCGTCCCGCCCCCTCCTCCTCCTCCTTCCTCCTGTGCACACGTCCACTCTCCTCCTCCTTCCTCCCCTCCCCTCCTCCTCCTTCCCCTCCTCCTCCTCCTCCTCCTCCTCCTCCTCCTCCTCCTCCTCCTCCTCCTCCTCCTCCTCCTCCTCCTCCTCCTCCTCCATTCCTTCCCCTTATAGATAATTTCTCCCTGTCCGCCCCGAGGCCAGTTTTAGGGCGGGCCAGGCGTTTTGCCTGAGACTTCCTTACCATTTATGACTCTGAAGCTTAACAAAAAAAACAACTGTTTCACTGATGGAGGGCGGGTCGCTTTCAAAATGTGGCTCTCGCCCTAGCGCCGCGGATATTCGTGCTCAACATTTGCAAAAAGTTTAATGGATTGAGGGCGGTTCCTTTTCAAAATGTGACTCCCGCCTTAGCGCCGCGCACATTCGGCATAAACATGTGCAAGAGTTTCGCAGATTGAGGGCGGGTCGTTTTCGATATGTGGCTCTCGCCTTCGCGCCGCCCACATTCGCTTTCAAGGTTTGCAAGAGCTTCACGGATTGAGGGCGGATCCTTTTCAAAATGTGGCTCTCGCCGTAGCGCCACGCACATTCGGTATACAAATGTGCAAGACTTTCAAAATTTCAAAAGGATTCAGGCTTATGCAGGCGCAGCGAATAAATTGATTCGCAGTGTTGAAGTCTCAAAAATGGCGTTCTGGCACGATACCGGATCGTCAAGACGCAGCAGTCAGGTTGAGATGTGACGTTGAAATCCCGAGAACAATGTTTCGGCACGGTTCAATATCTTCAAACGGTTGTCTTCCAACGAGGCAGTTCCCTCAATGGGAATGAGCCGTTGTAGGGCCTACGAAGAGGTAGCTTGGAGGGAGGGTTAATTCCAACATCGTTGATGACTCTTGGGTTTACACTGGTCTTCTTCCTCCTCCTCCTCCTCCTCCTCCTCCTCCGCCTCGGCCTCTGGGAGCCCTCACCGGGCCGCGGCAGCGCCAAAAAACGAGACTCGGGAGGAAGAGCCCGGCCCCACGGAGTGGGGTCGAGACCCCTGGAGGTCGACGTCCTGCACAGATCGTACCGGCGGGGGCCTGGGAGCGGCGGCAGCGGCGGCGGTGGCGCTGGCAGCCATCGAGCAGCCGACTGCAGCGCTCGAAGAGAAAAAGGGGCGAGGAGGAGGAGGAGGAGGAGGTGGAGGAAGAGCAGCCAACTGGAGCGCTCGAAGAGAAAAAGGGGCGAGGAGGAGGAGGAGGAGGAGGAGCAGCAGCAGGAGCAGGAGGTGGAGGAGCAGGAGGAGGAGCAGCCAGCTGGAGCGCTCGAAGAGAAAAAGGGGCGAGGAGGGGGCCTCGCCAGGCCGCGGTGCGCCTCGGCCTCGAGCGCGTGCGCTCCCTCCGACCTCTCGCCCCGAGGCGGCGGCCCGAAGACAGGAGCCGAGCGGTCCTCTCCCGGCGTCTGGGCCCGCGGCCCCCGACGTCCCCCTCCTCCTCCTCCTCCTCCTCCTCCTCCTCCTGCTTCTCCTCCTCCTCCTCCTCCTCCTCCTCCTCCTCCTCCTCCTCCTCCCTCCTCTCCTCCTCCTCCTCCTCGCTCCTCCTCCTCCTCCACCTCCTCCTCACCTCCACCTCCCGTCTCTCCTCCTCCCGCCTTCACATAATACCTCATACTCCTTCAATCCTCCCTCCTCCACCTCCTCCTCCTCCTCCTCCTCCTCCACCTCCTCCTCCTCCTCCTCCTCCACTCGCCCCTCCTCCTCCTCCTCCTCTCCTCCTCCTCCTCCTTCCTCCTCTTCCTCCTCCTCCTCTCGTCCTCCTCCTCCTCCTCCTCCTCCTCCTCCTCCTCTCCCCTCCTCCTCCTCCTTCCCTCATCCTCCTCCTCCACCTCCGACCTCCTCCTCCTCCACCTCCCCATCTCCTCCTCCTCCTCCTCCTCCTCACACCTCCTCCTCCTCCTCCTCCTCCTCCACCTCCTCCTCCTCCCTCCTCCTCCTCCTTCCTCCTCCGCCCTCCTCCACCTCTCTCCTACCTCCTCCTCCTACCTCCTCCCTCCTCCTCCTCCTCCTCCTCCTCCTCCACCTCCTCCACCACCCTTCCTCCTCCTCCTCCTCCTCCTCCTCCCATCCTCCTAGGCTCCTTCCTCCCTCCTCCTCCTCCTCCTCCTCCTCCTCCTCTTCCTCCTCCCTCCTCCTCCTTCCCTCCTCCTCCTCCTCCTCCTCCTCCTCCTCCTCCTCCTCCTCCTCCTCCTCCTCCTCCTCCTCCTCCTCCTCCTCCTCCTCCTCCTCCTCCTCCTCCTCCTCGCAGCCGAGCCCTGGGCAAAGGCGCCCAGGCGGCGCAGGGCCGGCGGGCCGCCCGAGGGTGGGCGAGGCCCCGTGTCCAGGCCACCGCATTGCTCGCGTCCCCAGGCCACCGACGTCGCGCTTTGTCCACGCCGTCGACCCCTGGGGGTCTCGACCCCTGCAGCTGGGGCCGGTTTTGTTCGTCCTGGGTCGTTCGTGGACGGCCCCGCGGCCCAGCAAGGGCCCCCCGAGGCCGAACGTAGCGCAAAAGCCTCGCGCCTCGGTTTTTGCACGACGCCAGGGGCTTTGGGCACGAGCCGTTCCCGTGTCGACGCGGCCGTCTGGCTCTCGCCGGGGCGGAGTCCGGCGGCCGCGGCGCGGTGGCCCCCCCCACCCCCGTGCGAGAGCCCCTATACTCGGCGACCGAAGCCGGCAGGACTGCCGGCCCGCGGACGCAGCGGGGGGACGCAGTGGCAACCGGTGGCCCCGCGAGGGGCGCGGCGGCCGGCGAAGTGCAGCCAAAAAATGCAACCACGAAGCAGGCCAAATAGACCCAGACCCCCTCGAGTCATGAAGAAATCACAGCGGGCATGGTTTCGCCATTTGCAGCCTCTATAGGGGCCCTCACCGGGCCTCGGGACCGTCAGCACAGCGACTCGGGACGAAAAACCGGTCCCGGGGAATGGGTCCGGACCACCGGGGGTCGCGTCATAAAAAAAACATGACGTCGGGGGTCGAATGTTACGTTCTTTGTGGAAGATATGTTTCATGAATTGTTCATAATCAAGACCCCCGACGTCGTGATTTGTCCATGTCGGCGGTGGACAAACCTCCCTTTAGTAAACCTCCCCTTAGGGAATACGGCCTGGGACCGAAACCGACGGACCTGGACCCGCAAAAATAACGGCCGCGCCGCCTTCTCGCGAACCGAAAATGGAAAACTCCTCAATCGACGTGTCAGGGTAGGAGGTCTGTCCAACCCCGAGAATGACGCAACCCCCAGAGGTCCGGACCCATTCCCCGGGACCGGCTTTTCAACCAGAGTCGTTTCTTGACAGTCCCGAGGGCCAATGAAGGCCCCCCAGAGGCCGACAGTAGCGAAGAAACCTCCCGTAGTTATTTTTTGAAGGGGCCCTGGGACACACAAATAAATACACACAAATAAAAGGATTCCCCATATTTTCCCAGATCTCCTGGGTCTCTGTCTTCCCCCACAGTGCCCGTATTTTCCCATATCTTCTGGGAATCGACGATTAATTGTGTCTGTGTGTTTTTTTCTCCTCCTGATTCTTGCGTGACTCGAGGGGATCTGGGGTCTGGGCACCATGAGGAAGGCCGAATGACCCACAACAAATGTTGTCCCAAACCGACAGCGGCCGCTGTTGGGCAGGCGGCCTTCTGTCTCAAATGGACACAGGCCGCGGCTGCGCGGACAGCGAGTCCTGTTCAAAATGAACAAGAACTGGTGTTGGGCATTGTACCCATTCTTTCTGTACACATTTCTTGAGCAGGGACCGACCGTCCTGGCATTCCTATAGTCCTACCACGAAATGTTCTTGAGAACCCAAAAATGCTCTAAGAACAAAAATTCTTAGAGCATAAACCCGATGCGATAAAACAAGACAGACTCCACCAGAAGTGTTCTAAGGACGTCTCGTGGAAACCACAACTCTTAGGACATTGTTTGGTGGGGCCATAGGCACGCCAGGACGCTTCGCCACTGCTTGAATTTCGTGTGCGTGCAGATCTGCGCCCCGTGAGGAAGGAGAAGGAGGAGAAGGAGGAGGAGGAGGAGGAGGGAGGAGGAGGAGGAGGAGGAGGAGGAGGATGAGGAGGAGGGGGAGGAGGAGGAGGAGGGGGAGGAGGAGGGAGGAGGAGGAGTCCCCACGAGGAAGGCCCCGAATGGCCTGGCTTGAGCCTGGCCGCGGTGAGCCTCGGCCACGGCGGGCTCCTTCCCGGCCCAGGTCTGCGGTATCCGGTCCCGGGGGCCGGAGCCCTCCCGAGCCCAGAGCGGTCCTGGCTGTGAGTCAAAGGCAGGGCAGTTTTTAATACATGGGATTTCTGAAAATATGAGATGTTTAATACATGGTTAATTTAGGAATAAACTGATGCATGGACTCATCATTGGCTTTCATACAAAATGCCTGCATGTTTAATACATGATCCGCACGCGGAGCATGTATTAAAACCGGCGCTGTACAGTCGGACTTGATTGGAGAGGACACGCGAGAGGACACGAGGCCCTTCCGAGGGGTACCTTGCCGTAGTAGGAATGTAGAAGGCACGCCTCTTTGAAGACAGGACACAAGGCTACCCTTGACTTGGCAGGGTCGACCTACTGATGAAGGCCAGCTGCAGAAAAGAAAGCCCGGGGGCGATGTTCGGACTACCTTCTGACTATTTGCTGGCTAGTGTTAAACATTTGTTGACTATTTTTGTTGTTCGCCCAACCTCCGCCTGCAGGAGGACATGCCCGACCTAATCCTGGCTCCGGGGGGAACGAGCAGCCTCAGCCCACGCTGCGCGCTGCTCGCACCTGCGGGCCACCGTGGCCCGCGCCCCGCCAGGGGCGTGTCCTGGGACGGGAGAGAGCCCGCTTGCGGCCGGGGGCCCGAGGCAGCCCTAGCTGGAGCGCGCGCGGCAACGCCTTCGCACACCCCTCCATCCATCGCCGCGCTGAAGGCGCCGGTGGCGGCGAAGGCCGTGATGGCCGCAATGTGCTTCTTCGCGGCCCGCCTCCCGCCCCACCGCGAACCGGGAAGGCCCGGAGCCGACTCGCCGTCGGTCTTTGGTCACGTGTCCTCCTTGCCCTCCTCGTCCCCTTCCTCCTCCCCGCCCGCCTCCCCCTGCTCGTCCTGCCCCCTCCGCTCGCCCTCCGGCCCTCTCCTGCCCCGGCAGGCCGAGCGCAGCTCAGGGGCGGGCTTGGAGGACGCGGTGGGCTCCACGACGCCCTCCTCGCTGCCCATGCCCCACAGCCCGGCCAGAGCCCTGGCCGCCGCCGGCTCCGGGGCGGGCTTGGAGGACGGGCTGGGCTCCACGACGCCCTCCTCGCTGCCCATGTCGTACAGCCTGGTCAGAGCCCGGGCCGCCGCCCGGCGCACCTCGGCGCGCCCGTCCTGCAGCAGGGCCGCCGCCGCGGGCACCGCCGCGCCGCCGGCCACGAAGCCCAGCGCGCCCACGGCCGCCCGACGAACCTTCCAGTCGGAGTCGCCCAGACACGCCTAGGAGGAGGAGGAGGAGGAGGAGGAGGAGGAGGAGGAGGAGGAGGAGGAGAGGAGGAGGAGGGGGAGGCGGGGGAGGAGGGGGGGGAGGGGGAGGAGGAGGAGGAGGAGGCCGTAGCCATTTTGGCTCAAGGGGCCTTCTCCTTGACTTCCAACCTCGGCTCGAGCAGTTGAGGCAGAAAGTCAGGTCTTGTTCCTACGAGCAAGCGTGGCCAAAGGTTCGCGACCTCACCCGCAACCATTCCTATTCAAGAGTTTCCCTCGGACACGGTTCCCAGTCACCACGCGCCATGGTGGGCTGGGGTTGCAGGCAGTGCAAGGCGTGGAATCGAGGGAACAAGCGACAGTGTTTCCAGTGTGGCGGGTACAACCCGAACCATGGACAGATGCCAGCCCCCGCCCGCCCGCCGCAGCCTCAAGGTGAGTGCAGTCGGCCCCAGCGCCTCCGTGGCTTGTCATGGCGGGAGCGCGCGGGCCCTGGCACCAGCAGCTCCAGGGAGAAGAACGCAGGTGGACAGGCAGGACCTCCCCCACTGGATGAGCAGCAGACGGAGTTCTGGCTCAACATGGGCGAGACGGAGTTCCAGATCGGGGCTGGGTGCCCGTCTCAGAGCCGGCGTGACGAGCTGGTCCATCGTCGTCGGCTTCGCGCGGCTGGCGCGCAAGATCCTCGAGCTCACCAGGATTTGCCACCGCTGGTCGCCAAGGCTCAGAACGCGTGTTCGGCGCGGAGGGCGGCGCGGCGGGCGAGGAGGGCCCGGGGGCGCGGGGCGAGCGGCGCGGTGGTGCCGGCAGCGCGGCGGACGAGGAGGGCGCGAGGGAGGAGGCGGGCGAGGAGGGCCTGGACGAGGGCGGCGCGGAGGAGGCGGCGCGCTGGTTGGCTGCAGGCCAACCAGCGCGTGTCCGGCGCGGAGGAGGCGGCGCAGCAGGCAGCCCTGGGGCGCATGGAGGCCCGCGACGCTCTGCGCGCAGCGGAGGAGGAGCTTGGAGGGAGGAGGAGGGAGGAGGAGGGAGGAGGGAGGAGGGAGGAGGGAGGAGGGAGGAGGGAGGAGGGAGGAGGGAGGAGGGAGGAGGAGGGAGGAGGAGAGGAGGGAGGAAGGAGGAGGAGGAGGAGGGAGGAGGAGGAGGAGAAAGGAGCGGAGGAGGAGGAGGGGGAGGAGGAGGAGGAGGAGAGGAGGAGGAGAGGAGGAAGGAAGAGAGAGAGGAGGAGGAGGAGGAGGAGGAGGAGGGACGAAAGGGAGGAGGAGGAGGAGGAGGAGGAGGAGGAGGGAGGAGGATGGAGGAGGAGGAGGAGTAGGGAGGAGGAGAAGGAGGAGAAGAAGGAGGAGGAGGGAGGAGGAGGAGGAGGAGGAGGACAGGAGGAGAAGGAGGAGGAGGAGGGAAGCGGGAGGAGGAGGAGGAGAGGAGGAGGAGGAGGAGGAGGAGGAGGAGGAGGAGGAGGAGGAGGAGGAGGAGAGGAGGGGAGGAAGGATGAGGATGAGGAAGAGGAGGGAGAGGAGGAGGAGGAGGAGGAGGAGGAGGAGGAGGAGGAGGGAGGAGGAGGGCGGAGGAGGAGGAGGAGGAGGAGGAGGCTGCCCAGCGGATGAGAGCAGGCCCAGATGGCCCCCTCCCCAGGCCCAAGCTCCTCGGGAGGTCTGGGGCAGCGCTGGGCAGGCTGGCGGAGCTCGTCGGCAAGCTCATCGCACCAGAAGCTCATCGCACCGGGAGCAGGAGCAGAACGGCGTGGACAGCAGGACGCAGACGCCATCAGGTCGTCCATCGACGAGCTCAGGAGCTTCTAGGCGCAAGCGCAGCCTCCCGCAGCGGGACAGGGGCCAGCAGCCCCATTCCCGGGGGGGCCCTGCACCTGATGATGACGGTGACGGTGGTCGCGACGGGGACAAGCGCATGGGAGACCCAGACAAGTTCGACGAGAGTGGCACCAACAAGCGCGTGCGGGATCGCATGTCCACCCGGGGTGCGGAGGTCTCAGGGGAGCAACGAGCAGCTGCCACGGTCGCATTGTTTCAGGAACAAGCGAAGCGTCTACGGCGGCAATGAGTGCTCTCGTTGTCCTTCTCGGTATAGGGCCCCCAGGACGCCGGGGGGGCCTAGGCAGCCCGAGCAGGGCGGCACTGGCTCCGAAGCCTCCTGGAAGCCCTGCTTCGAGGACCAAGGCTCCGCCCCAGCACAGGGACGCTGAGAGCCCAAGCATTCCAATTTCCACGAGCGGTACCACGGCCAGGCTCACTCTGCCTGCCAGCGGAGAAGAGGGCACAGGGACACCGACATTGACCTTCTACTCCAGCAACGTCACGAGCTGGAACGAGAAGGGCCCCAGCTACCTCAAGCGTGAGGACAGCCCGATGCACCGAGCGCACATCATAGGATTGGCAGAACATCATCTGGCAGGGAAGAGGCTGAATGAAGCAAATAAGAAGATCTCCATCGACAGGATACAGCGCAATGGACGTCAATTTCGGTTAGTGCGAAAGGATTAGAGATTCTGTGTGTGTCGATGTATCTGGCAGTTGGAGTCGGTCTGGCTGGCCCTAACGTTGACACCATCAACAGCATGGCGCCGTACGTGAAGACAAAGGAGCTCCCGTTCGTTATCATGGCAGACTGGAACATGGTGGAAGCGGAGATTGAGCCTTTACGCTTGACGACCTTCCTGGGCGGAGTTTGGCGCAAGCCGCACGAGCCGCAGCCTGGAAGACATCGGGTGATGTACTACTGTCTGGTCTCAGAGAAGATAAGCGGACTGGTCAAACTACGATGGGACGGAGTAGGGCCTTGGGCGGCCCCGCACTACGGCATCAAACAGATCGGGCCAGTGGATCACGTGTACTTAGAGTTCGCGCTGGCGGCTGAGGATCTGCTTCTCAGCAGGCAGCCTGACTCCATGCCTGCCTTTGATGCGCTCAGGGGCATTTACCCTGAGACTCGTCTCGTGCCAGTTGTTGCAACCAAGACCACTGGCTGGCTAGCCAACACTAACACGCTCTCTCACTGGTCAAGCCCGCAAGCGCGATTTCATGCGCTGCTAGGCCCGAAGTGGAAAGAGAGGGGGCGGGTTTAGTGGCAGGGGGCGGTGGAGGCGATAACTATCGTAGTAGGTGAGCTGCATGGGCGGCCAGCGGATTTGAAGGATGCATCCGATCAGGCACTCATCAGTAAGCTCCAAGGGGATCTGGGAATCCTCGGAGGCCTCGGAGAGGAGCAACTGCTCGTCAGGTCGCGGCAAGTTGACGCAGTTGCGCATCGCCGTGGGTCCCATTTCCTCCATGAGAGCTCTCGCTGTTTGAAGACATGGGTGCAGGCCAGCTTGAGGAGAGGAGCGGGGGCTGCCCATGGGCACACGAAGCTCTGGGGAGCCCCAGGAGCAGGAGCTGTCCAGGGCTCGAGGCGCGGACGGCCAACTCCTGCCAGGCCCGCTCCACAACATCAGAGCCAAAAACGCGAGTTGTGGTTGCAGTGCTGGGGCAAGCTTGGTGGAAGGACTTCCGCCAACCTCGCTGGTGGAAGGACTTCCGCAATAGCCACCAAGCACGAGCACGAGGAGGACAAGGGGGAGGAAGAGGACAAAGCGGAGTAGGAGGAGGAGGAGGAGGAGGAGGAGGAGGATTGAGGAGGGAGACGAGGAGGATAGGAGGAGGAGGAGGAGGAGGAGGAGGAGGATTGAGGAGGGAGACGAGGAGGAGGAGGAGGAGGAGGAGGAGGAGGAGGAGGAGGAGGAGGAGGAGGAGGAGGGAGGAGGAGGAGGAGGAGGAGGATGATGATGAGGAGGAGGAGGAGGCCCCCCGCACGAGCAGGAGGCTTGGTGGGAGGACCTCCGCCGAGCCGCCAGGCGACACGGCCCGACCCTGGACCCCCACAACAGGTGGAGAAGTCCCACAGGGCAGTTTTTAATACATGGGATTTTTTACATCTAAGATTTTAATGCATGGTTAATGTATGAATGAGTGTATGCATGCACTCATCGTTGTCTTTAATGCTAAATCCCTGCATCTTTGATACATGATCCGCACGCGGAGCATGTATTAAAAAACGGCACTGTAGAGGGACTCCAACGTTTCTGGCCAATCATGGGAATGGGCGCGGGTCGCACCAACCCGCGACGGTGGCGACGGCTGCCCGAGGAGGGCATCGTCCACCTCGCCCACCTCCTCGACCTCGTTGAAAGGAACCGTTGCTGGCCAGTGCAAATGTGTGTGAACCTAGTGCAGCTCATGTAAAAGCCATCGGGGGGCGGACAGGCCCGTAACTTTAATCCAGGCCCCGTAGCGTGTGATCCCGCAGTCGCAGGTGGCAAGTTGCGGGTGGTCTGGGCAGTATGTTCAGTTCTGGTACAACGCAGTAGCAGGTTCTAGTTGCTTGCGGGCAGCGCTCCTTAGTCAAACGCTGCAAGGTGTTGCTCGGTGTGAAGTGTCGTTGGACTTGGGAACATTCTACAACGCACTAGGCCCAGAGCAATTGTGGCAGGTAGGGTCGAATGTAGGCGATCCTCTCACTCACCTGTTCCTCGCTTTCAGCCTCCAGTTTGGGCCCCGAAGATGCCAGAGGAACGGAGTGGCTTCGGCGCCCCTGCAGGCCGTCAAGGGGATCCTGGCTGGATGATCGCAGAGTGTGTATATTTCTGGGTTGGCTCTTCGGCACATGTTCAGTGAGTTGCACGCCTCTTACAGGCCAGCGGAAGTCCAGAACTGGATAGATGACACCACGCGATCAGTCATAGGAAGAGACATTGTCGTAGTTGAGGCAACGATAGCTGCAGTCAAGTTTTTTGTTGATCGGTGCGCGTCCCTGGGCCTCACCATTTCGGTGAAAAAGCAAGGTCGTTTCCAACCCTCCCAGGGTCGCGGCAACCATCGGGACCAGGCTTCGAGAAGCTAGGATCAACTTGCAGCACAGCCACTTCGTGACGGACCCGGGGATCGATGGCACCTCGCACCGCAGGAGCATTGGTACGGCCAAGAAGCGAGTGCAGGCGAGCCACGACCGAGGCCAGATTATCAAACGAGTGGTCAAAACATCGAGAGTGGCGGCATCCCTGGTGAAGACGGGGTACCTGCCACAAGCAGCCTGGGGCCTGGAGGGCCAGGGCATGGCACAGTCTCTGCTTTTGAGGGTGAGAGCCTAAGTCAGCGGCATGGTTGGCCGAAGGGAAGGGGGTTGCGCGACGACCACGACCAGAGTGACCTTCCCTTCAACACACCAGAACCCAATGGTTTTTGGAAGATTGCGCCTCTTTCGGGAGTGGACCGCACGCCGAGCCGTGCGGATAGCTTAGCGCAAAGCATGGACGAGCCTGAAGAACTCCCACTCACGTTGAAGCAGAGTGAACGGTACCCTTTCAGCCACAGTTGCAGCGCTTCAGGATTTAGGCTTCTCAGCGGACTCGCCCTGGGAATGGATCAATCAGGATGGGGAGCGTCTCAACCTCGAGACTGATGACCCAGAGCGAATCATAGGCTTTGAGATGTGTGGAGCGCTAGACCAGAAGGCTTGGCTGACAGCTTCTAAGCACTACCAGGGCAAGGGCCTAGAGCATGGCCCAGATCTCCACATCAGCAAGTCGCAGATTAGACACCTCAGGAGGCAGGGTAAGTACGAGCAGCTGGGCACCCTTCGGATGGTCATGTCTGGAGCGTTGTGGCCAGCGAGTCGACGTTTCGGTGATGAAGCCACCCGCCCCCTGCCTCCCAACCTCAATCAGCCTTCCTCCCAGAGTGGTCCCCCCTCCGCCTGCACAGGCTCCAGATCTGGAGTCGCCAGGTCCGTCAGTCATCCCAGCAGTGCAGGCCAGGGAGGAGGAGCAGGAGGAGGGGATTTAGATGAGGTTTCGTTTGGCCAGATGTTGGAGCAGGCCCAGCGGGAGGAGCAGCAGGCTTGGCCAGAGCCCCCTGAGGAACCCATTGACCACTTAGACCCTCTCGTCGCAGCCTCGGAGGTGGCCAATCG